GCCTCCGAGATCCCTGATCGAGCTAAAATGATCAACTACAAAGCAGCCCGCACTCCTGCAGACATTTAGCCAAATTTGATGGTACTGGTCCCACTGTCTCGGATCCTATCCTCTACGGTATTCTTTCTATAACACTTCAATACTTGACTTTTACTAGACCCGACATCACTTATGCAGTTCAACAAATTTGTCTTTATATGCATGATTGTCGTGAGCCTCATTTTACAGTTTTTAAACAAATACTTCGATACATTTGTGGGACTCTCGATCATGGCCTGAAACTATATGCTTCACCTTCTTGAGGGTTGATAGCCCACTCAGATGCTAATTGGGTCGATTGTCCATCCACAAGGTGTTCCACTTCAGGCTACTGTGTTTTTCTTAGGCAGAATCTTCTCTCTTGGTCCTCCAAGAGGCAGGGTACGATATCCAGGTCCAGTGCAGAAGCATAGAGTATTGCGGTCCAGTGTAGAAGCATAGAGTATCGCGGGGTTGCAAATGTAGTAGCCAAGACAAGTTGGCTTCACAATCTCTTATGGGAACTTTTATACCTGTCACTTTTCATGACTTTGGTATATTGTGATAACGTCAGTGCTATTTATTTGTCCACTAATCTGGTTCAACACCAACACACCAAACATATAGAGATCAATCTCCATTTTGTGTGAGACCAAGTTCCATATTTTCACCAAAGGGCTACCATCTTCTTTTTTCCTTGACTTTAGATCCAGTCTGAATGTCCGTTCGAGACCTCCCGTTCAAACCGTGGGGGATGTTAGCATACGTATCTACTATAGTGTTGTCTATTATGTATTATTTGATATGGAGCCCATCTAATTGTAATCAATCCTTAAATGTATTTGGGTTAAAGTCATAAAAACCCTCAAGTTTGCAGCTTTTTGTCGGTTTTACCCAAAGTTGTTGTTTAGGTTCGTTTTAACCGCAAATTTGCATTGATTTTGTCATTTTAGCCATTTTATCAGATTTTCTGGTTGCTAGCCGATTGCCTGCACATGTGTCGCGCCAAGTAAGTGATGGCTAGACCAAGGAAGTGCTAGATAGGCGATGAGTTGGTTGCTTTTGAAAAAACAGGGAAAGGAAGGAAATGAGGATGGCTGCTTTCAAACCTTCGACCTCCTAAAGATCAATCTAAGCCCCTTACCACTAAGCTGAAACAATTTTTATGTTAACTCTCCAGATTTCTTAAATGTAATGTATACCACTGATGCTATTACTATTACTTTTATTCTTATTTTGTTTTTGTTTTTTTAGTATATTATTATTATTATTATTGTTATTATTATTATTATTATTATTATTATTAAAAAAGAACACCAGTTCCATCGACCACCTACAACACCACCACTATTGCCGGTCTTCTCCCCCACCACCCACTCACCCAAAAATACCAATCCACTCACAACTCCATCATTTCTTGAGTCGTGGGAGACCTCTGCCACCACTCACCTCTGTTAACACCATCCTCACAATTGATCTGGAAATAAAAATAATGAACATTGATGACGATGGTGGTGGATAGGGTTTATGAAGAACACATCAGACGATGAAGAAGATGAACAACGAAGAAAAAGAGTCGTAATGGTGGCGTCAGATCTTGTAGGGGTTGAAGACGCTAATAGGGGATTACGGTGACTGTTTGAGATGGGAAGGGAAGATGATGAACAATGAAGATGGTGTCGTATATGGCTTCGAAGATGGTATGAACATGGCATCAAAGATAGTGACGGAGGTGGCGGCTGGAGGATGGGTGGTGGCTGGAATGTGTTAAAGAAGGTAATTCGTTTTTAGGGTTGTGGTTGTTGTATATTAAAGAGGGAATTAGATGGTAATGGCTATTGAACGTTAGATAATAAAGTTCAACAAGTTATTCACCAAAAACTTTCTAGCTGGCCGGTAAGAGGCTTTGTTGTTATGCTGGAGCTGGAGGTCATAAATTCAAAGCTTGTTAGCCTCATTTCCTTCTTTAAAGCTTTTTGTTTTTTAATTAAAGTAAAACCTGCTGACGTGGCATGCCACATCAGCGGTTACCGCTAAGTAAGCATCTGGGATGGAGTTGTGACCGGAAAACTTGATAAAAGGGCCAAAATGAAAAATCAATGTAAATTTGGGATATAAACGAACCTAAAAAACAACTTTGGGCAAAACCAACAAAAAGCTACAAACTTGAGGGTTTTTATGACAATACTATTTTGTGCATATATTTGAGTGAAAAGGCAATATGCTAGTGTTTATGGGAAAATACCAATCAACAAATTGGTGTTTATCTTTGGTAATCAGAAAGAATTCGAATTCTATAAAACCCCATTTGTTGGTCTCATACCAGTGTATTGATTTGAGGTTGTTCTTTAAATGATTATCCTCATCATTTGAATTTCATGTACCCAGACATAACGTTGAACTATCAAATTCGGAAAATGATCATATGATCTTCAAACATAATTAGTCTGTTCTTCAATTTCAGAAACCTCCTTCCCCCAAACCATAACAGTTATTACATTTTGATGCCTTAACCACTAAAACATCTTTCAACCTGACATTAATATTTTTCTTGACGATCTTAAACATCTCATGCAACTTAGCTACTCAATTTACGAAGAACTTGATCAAAACTATTCGTAAGAGAATTACATTTAAAGTCAGTAGCCCATTCTTGGTTAATAGGGAAGCGGGACCACACTAAAACGATACTCACGTCTAGGGATGAGAATTTGGCCCGAAAACCCGCACCGAACCGAACCGAACCGAATTAGACCTGAATAAGCAATTCGATTCGGTTTTCGGGTATCTATATAAGGCTTAATCGGTTTTCGGGTTATTCGGTTCGGGTTACCCGAATAAGGGCTTATTCGGTTCACAAAGACCGAACCGAATATGAAAAGTCACATTTTTTTTCCTAACACAATTGCTTATTCGGTCTTCTTTTCTATCGACCGTTACCCAACAAAACTCACGTAATACACCAAAAAAAATCAACAAAATCGAATTCGATCATCCGTATTACACCAAATCGATAGTAGTGTATTACACCAAATCGACAGTATCGTATTACACCAAAAAAAATCAACGAAATCGAATTCCGGCCAAAGTCTCATCCCTAGATTTTTGGGTGTTTTGGATGTTTAATTTTTAGTGTTTAATTTGTTTCTTTAAAAGATTTGTTATGAAATCATAAGCTACAAAAGTCATACAAAATACAATATTTATAATCACATTGTTAATGTTATTTGTAAATGTTATTAGGGTTATTCGGGTTATTCGGCTCCTTAATCATGTTGTACATGTTATTTGGTTTTTCGGTCCGAAACCGAACCGAACCGAACCGAATAATACACGAACCGAACCGAACCCGTATTGCTTATTTGGTTCGGTTTTCGGTTCATACAATTACCCTTATTCGGTATTCAGTTTATTCGGGTTCGGGTCAGGTCGGTTCGGTTCGGTTCGGTTCGGTTCCGACCCGAATAACATCCCTACTCACGTCTACTCCATAGCAATTATAATTAAATCAATCTGTATTAAATATACAATTTAAAATTATTATTGATAATGTAACTGCGTGGACCATCTTTTATTCTTTTCTACTCGGAAACACTTTCAAATCCACTATCATTCACCATGCGTTGCTGGTGAAGCACTCTTTGGTTGAGGTTGTGGCGTCCAATTTAAGTGTTTCATTTTTTCATTTTTGGTTATTATCTTTTAATAGAAATGGAAGTGCCTCAAAAGGAAAGATTCATTAAATCATAGCTTTTATTCAAAGTTTATATTATATATATATATATATATATATATATATATATATATATCTTATATATATCTATATATATATATATATATATATATCTATATGTTCAAGTTCATTTGATACAATGCTAATTTTGTGAGACCGTGAGACCAAAATCTAAAAATAATTTTAAAATTCAAATAAAAGGAAAAATCCAAAAATTCTTTTTTTAATTATTATTTTCGGAACTTTAATTACCTAAAAAAAATAAATATAAAATAAAAAAATACCGTTTTTTTAACATACGTGAAATATTCTAATAGAATATTACACTGTAAATATTTTAATGTGATTTTTAGAATGTTAGAATATTGTACTAGATTTGTCAGATATGTAGAATATTCTAATATTCTACTAGAATATGTAAAAAATGTATTTATTATTAATTTTTTTTTATTTTTTTTGGTATTTTTTGGTATTTTTATTTTTTTGGAAAATATAAATTCCGAAAATAATATTTGAAAAAAAAATTTTCAAAAATTTTCAATTATTTTGCATTTTAAAAATGTTTTTATTTTATCTAATAAATAAGTGGTTAGGATTGCGTCTCACGGTCTCACAAAATTAGGTCGTCTCACATGAACCTAACCCTATATATATATATATATATATATATATATATATATATATATATATATATATATATATATATATATATATATATATATATATATATATATATTTTACATACATGATAAATGTCAATAAAAATATAAAAGTCATCAAATTAAGAAGATGTTAATTTATCTCATTCTAAAATACACATGATATTTTGCTTAAAACATAATATGGTACAATCTAATTGACTATTAATTAAATATGATCTCGCTACAAAATAAAAATGTTCATTTTACCACAAAAGTCTAAAGAGGTGTGGGAGTTTGTTGGGGGGTTGTAAAGTAGTTGCATTTAACTTAAAAAATCAACATTAACTTTTGGTTGCATGCACTACTTCAGTACTTCAGTTGGCAAGACCCTTTAATCTCTCTACCAAACTCAGTCCTTTAATTTCAAAGTTGGACTCAAAAGGGATATTGACTTTGCATATGATAACACTAATAATAACTAAATCTAACATCTCGTATCTTATTCGATACAATATCTAGAGATTAACCGGTGTATCTTAAATACCAAGCATGCACATTGCTTTCACTATATAAGCCACCCCACACTTCTTTATCAACTTCTCATCCCTCTTTAAGATGAAAAATCGGATGGAACGACTTGTGGTTCTTCCTTTCACCGCCGGGTGTGTCTCTTCCTCCAGTGTATCTGTTAGCGTACAACATGGAAGACGACCAAAGGAAGACATCAACTCAGCTCACATGGGTACGCACATACATATTCTCTATTAATCAAAAACAGAATCTTTCATATTAAATCTTTAAATTTTTTGCACATAACCAATTAAAAATTATTCATTTTTCTTTAAACATCATCTTGAAAATTTTACCAAAACCCAGGTGAAAATACCGTTTTTCTTTTAATGGGATTGATATTGAATTTTGGTGGATGTTAGTGTGTAGGTCAAGGGAAGTGCCCAAAAATTCAAAAGACACATCAAGTGACCACATGATGAAGGGCTCATCTAGTTCTAGGTTCCCAACACCATCGATACCAAATATATACATTGGGTTTCACAGGCTTACCAGAACCATCAAAAATCTGTCTCAGTCCCTTGGTAAGTCATGACTTGTTAAAATGCTTAAAACCTTGAATCCCTAAAATATTGTTACTCTCCACGATTTATCCCAGCATGATGGGCTCTTGAGGCTGGTTTGACTTGGGCCTTCCGGAATTGCAACTGATCCTTTCTAAATCTTGCCTAATTCATATAAAAAGAGTACATTTTTTTTAATCGTTACACTAGTTAAGTTTGAAATATCACCCATCATAATAAAGAAAACACAGTTGCATTGTGAGGAATCAGAAATGAAGATAATATAAAATGTACATGTTATTGCATTTACTCAAGTAAATTATGATAGTGTTCAAGGAGGAGATGGAGGAACTGGAAATGGAGATGGATATTGGCCTTCCAACGGATGTAAAACATGTGACACACATAGGGTTCGATGGATCGATGAACCCCGGTGCCAACGGTTGCAACCACTTGGACATCTCAGATTTTCTTTCGCTATGCCCTAACTCCATGGCTCAGTACGAGCAACGTGCTATGTTTGTACCAGTAGATGCAACTCATGATTCTCAAAATACATCATGTAAGTTACCCGACATTAGAGAAGAATGAAATGGATGTATAAGGAATGAAGGGTGTTGTACTATTTGTGAAGATTGTGTGAATGATATATAAATGTCGTGTGGATAAAGTTTTTTATGTGATAATGTGTTGTTAGAGAACTTATTGGTATATTGAGAGGTTTGACATATCGTCTTTATCAAAGTTTTACACTCGCTCTCTCAACTCAAATTCTAAACTACTCCTTTTTTTGTATAATACTTTTTTTTAACGACAAATACTAAACTACTCCTAAATTACAGCTTCTTTTTTGTATAATACTTTTTTTTAACGACAAATACTAAATTACTCCTAAATTATTTCACCTATGTTCACAGTTTTTTTTTTTTAACAGCAAATACTAGACTACTCCTAAATTATTTCACTTATGTCCACAGTGGGATTTGAACCCTTGACCTCCTTTTGGGCTAGAAGCCCTTTGGTTTATATAATACTTATCGACCCTACTTTCTTTTATCAAAATGCGAGAAATTAGTAACGATTTGGAGCCATATTTACTTTGTCATATAGGAATATTACATGCAAGTTCAAAAAAAAATGTTTTCGTAATGTAAAAAGGTTTGTTATCATAGTCCATATCCGAAATTATAGGTGACAGTTTCGACATATTAACTTACAAATGGGTGAATTTGGGTTGCAGTTTATATCAAAAGGTAAAACATGTATATTCTGAGAACATAGCTGGAAAAGAAGAAAAAAAAAAGTGGAATTAGTAAGTGTTGTGGAAGTCGTTCGAAATGTATTAAATGGTTACAATCTCCTAAATCACTTTATTTGCAAAAGTTCATTCATGATCTTAGTAGCAAGGGAGAGTGGAGCATATTGCTTACTTATCAAAGTGTTGATAGATAAATTGTAGAAGAACAAACGAGGCAGAAAGAAGCCTAACTTAAAATGGTCATGAATTTTAAACTTTCAGGAGTTTGGAGGCCCATTTATGTGGACGGAATGCTTTCAACGAGACGATGGAAAACCACCAGAGTTATTACATCTCAGAGTAATCGTCTCCACTACAAGAAAAGTCTATTTTAGTGACGACCTAAAATGTGGTCACTAATAACATCATTTAGTCACCATATATTTAGTCGTCACTAAATTTTTGGTAATACTACAAATTTAATTACCACTATCATGATGGTCGTCGCTCACCCGTCACTAAAGTGTAGAATAAAGTTTAAATAATTACGTTATAGCAAGTATTAGTGACCAAAAATAGTGGTCACTATATTGGAGAATTAGTGACGAAAAATAATGGTCACTGGATTGGAGGGTTAATGATGAAAAATAGTAGCACTAGAGACTTAGTGACCAAAAATAGTGGTCACTGAATTGGCGACTCAATGAGCAAAAGTAGCGGTCACTAGATTAAAAACTTAGTGACCAAACATAGTGGTCACTAGCTATTTATATATTTATGAGCTGAAAAATAGTAACTAGTAATTAGTAATTGAATATACAATTGAAAATTGCAAAAAAGGTTAGGACCGTATAATAACGATCACCGAACAAATTTTATTATAAATTTAAAAACAAAATAAGAATTATAAACTCATATTATGTAAATGGCCACGATGATGGTTTATTCGACGGAAATGCATTGTGGTAATTTCACATTAAATATACAATGTTAAATAGCATGGTGTCATTACATACATATCTGTTAATTTCATTTTAGTAATTTTTACCCAAATAATGTTAGGGTAATTTCGTAATTTGGTATAAAGGGGTTTGGAGTAATAACAATCCTAATAAGGGTCTTAGTGGAAATGCTTAAAAGATGAAGGGGTGAAGGGGTGACCCAGTAGGATAAGTTGAGGGTTAAATACTAATAAAATAAAGCAAAATGTGGTTATCATCTCCATTACGTATTTACGCTATGCAGACCTCCCCTCGCTTTCCTCTATTCACAATCTGCATCGAACACCGCCACCATCGTTACCTCGCCTTCCGTCTTCCGTCGGCGCTGCTACCGCATCGAATCACCACTTTCTCCTCCGTTCACTACAGTACCGTGCTCCAAAGTTTGAAGCCCTAGTTTTCCCAATTGAAGCTTCAATTAGGTAATCACTTCCCCAAAATTTGATTAAGGTGTGATTAGGGCTCGAAAAACCTCAATTGGAGCTTAATTCCTCGCATTTGATTCTGTGTTCATCATTACTAAATGTCGAAAGGTAATTTTATCCTTTCCTCAATCTCTCTTCTCCTCTTTCTCGTTGATTGCTTAGGGACGACATCCTCCTCTACCTACTTTTCCGGTTCTCGACTCCATTCTCGACTCCATTGCAATATCAGTCTATAGTTGATGCAGAGTGGAATATCATTTATGATAAGTTGGATAAATGTGTGAAGACTGGTGCCAAGATTGTACTTTCTCGTCTTGCTATTGGTGATCTGGCTACACAGGTTGGCTGGCGTTGACTCTTTTGACTTTTCCACAAATGAAATTCAGCTTTTAAATGTTTTTTTGTTATCAGTATTTTTGCAGACAGAGATATCTTATGTGCTGGAACCGAAGAAACAACAAGTAAACTTACTGCTGCGATTTTCTTTTTTATTGTTCCTCGTCATAATATTGTTATATTGTGAATAATCAAAATTTAGGTCTCCGTGTTTTAATCTTGATTTTTCTATGATCGGATCAATCAATCAGTGTTCAGTGTTGTATTCCAAAAATTAGATCAAACTGTCGATGTAAATCTAAATCATCGAATTATCGTATATAAAAGTCACTCTCATGGTTTTGTTCTCTCTCTGGAAACAGTTTTCACTTTTTGTTTCTTTGATTGATCAGTCAATCTAATCGCTTAATTTATGTTCCTCAGACAGTTAAAAGTTAAACCCATATTTTAGACTAAAAATGGTGTGGCACAAAATCTATGCATAGTTGTTGTACTCTAGTATCTTTAACTGAACCTTGTCAAGTGCCCAATCTTAAAACTTTTTCTTTGAAGTAATCTCTTTGCATGTTTTTATGTTTCTTAGTTGAATATGGGAGTTGCTGATGCAAGCCCAAGCAACAGCAACCCAACAGGAGTCCAGCACAGGCCCAAGAGAACCACCCGAAAACCTGCTAGATTAATGGACTAAAGTAGTACATGTGAAGAAGTCTTGGCTGATTGAGTCTTTCCTTAGTTTCAGCTGTAGTGGCAGGATATTAGGCCACGTTTAGATGCATGCATAAGGTCTTTTGACCATTTCCCATTCCTAGTTCTAGATAGTTAGCAGCTTATTTAAGCAGATGTAATTTTCCTTCTTATGGTATGAATTTATAAACTCAGAAAATTGCTCCATCCTCTGTTTCTTTCTTGGGAGATTCGCCTTCTCTAACAGGCTGCTATCAGTTGCACAAAAAAGTAATGGCATGGAGGAGGCAACACTTGAGATTGGAATGGGTAAGCTTTTTCTTTAAGTACAATTATTATTATATGCTTAGATGATGTCTCAACTTTCTAATGTTTCTACAGAATATAGAACTGTCTCTGGAGTTGCTGGACCTCTGGTCATCCTTGATAAAGTGAAGGTTGGTTTCTGTGTTTCTTTTTTTTTATGCTCATTATTATTCTCTTTATATTATAAAAATTTCAGTTGAAATTATGATTCTTAAACCAATATGAGAATGTTTATACGGGTAAGCCATGTGATTAAGTGATAGTTGCATTTCTGTGTCTATATTTACAGGGACCAAAGTATCAAGAAATTGTGAATATCCGCTTAGGAGATGGATCAACTAGACGTGGTCAAGTCTTGGAAGTTGATGGAGAAAAGGCTGTTGTTCAGGTAATCTATCTGTCTTCTCTTTGAGGAGAATTGGAAATTATTTTGTCCATATATATATATATATAGATATTATATATATTATATAATATATATATATATATATATATATATATATATATATATATATATATATAAGCAAGGGTATAGTATGTTTGACTTGACATCCCATCATTTACACTTTATTGTTTTCTTGTTAAATTCCCACTTAATGCATATTTCATTGTTATCTTGAGCAGGTTTTTGAAGGAACATCTGGAATTGACAATAAATTCACCACTGTTCAGTTCAACTGGGGAGGTACATTAAATCAATTGTTGATAAAAAAATGCACATAGTCTTTGTTTTTTTTTTGTTCTTTTTATTAATAAAGTGATTCTGAGATGTGCAGGTTTTGAAAACTCCTGTTTCCATGGATATTTAATGGCTCTGGGAAACCAATTGATATTTCTGGTAACTTTTTTTTTTTGGTAAAAATTCCATTTTGCCCCTGAATGGTAAATTTTTTTTTTTTTTCCTTTTTGTTGTTATTACAACCACCTCCTCCAGTTAATGACACCAACCCATACAATGTATTTAGACCAAGGGAGAAAGCTCACAGACTTCATACAAGAAGGGTAAGTCTGTCAATTCTTCATATTTTTACATAATCTAAGGTATTAAAAAATGTTTATATATTTTTAGATGCAAAGAAGAGAAAACAATGTCCAATCATTTGAAAAGCTTCGCCAGGTGCTTTTTGACCCATATATGTTCTCATCCTACTTCTTAATCTTACATTTTATTTGTCAATCCAAAAACTTACTAGAAGCTTTAATCAAGGTACCCTCACACACACACACATTTCATTTTATTTTTTATTTTTATTTTGGTAGTGATAATGACTAGATGAAGAATGTGTGCAACAGAAAGAGGAGAAAAAGAGAAATGTTTTACCTTTTGAGAATCATCGTTCACAGAAGAACCTCATCCCTTTCAGCTTTCAGCATTCAACTCTGTGTGTGTGGTTTGGTTGAACACAAGTTTACCCTTGGAAGCAATTGAATTTACTTTTAATCCACATTGATCTTTATATGTTTGTTTTTTGAAATATTGGATAAAATATATGGATTTTGTTTTTTAAAAATGACATTTAATTTTCATATTATAATTGTGAAGATTTTTTTGGTTATTATTGTTGTATTGTAAAAATTTATAGGATTGATTTTTCTTTTGTCTAATTGGATATTGTTATATTTCATATTAAAAATGACATTTGATATTTCAATAATTTCTTAATTATTGACCCCCTTTTTGTGTCTAATATGATAAATCAGTGACGACCTGTTATAGTCACTAATTAGATAGACTAGTGACCATTTTATGTGGTCACTAATTGGATAAAACAGTGACGACTTTTATTGGTCACTAAGTAGATAAAATAGTGACGACTTTTGTTGATTAGTGACAACATTTAGTGACAAAGTGGGTCGTCACAGATTTAGTGACGAGTATATTTTAGTTACTGTTTAGTGACCATATTTATATTTGGTCACTAAATCGGTTTTGTGACGGACCTATAGTGACGAAAAGTGACGACCGGAATTTTGGTCACTAAATCATTTAGTGACAATTCATTCTATTGTTAGTGACCATTTTGTTTTGGTCACTAATTGGCATTTTTTTTGTAGTGCTCCCAACCCTTAGACATCTGATCACTAACACTAAGATGTTTAAAGGTATCCAAAGCATGAATTCTATGAAAAGTAGACGCAAGCCACTCTTCACCCATCCAAAGATCTTGCCAAAAAGACGTGTAGCATCACCAATCCTAATAGGACATAAAGACTGAATATGAATAACTTCATCACCAATCCTAATATCGATGTCTCTGTCTCTAAGATGGCTGAACATATGAATAACTTCATTCCAAGGACCTGTACCAGCTCTTCTCGTGATCAAGGATCTACATCCACCATCTGGACCATACAAGGATTTTATGACACGAACCCACAACAGATTGGAGCAGTGATAAAACCTCCACCACCAACGTAACATCATAGCCTTATTAAAGGAGAAAAGGCTCCCTACTCCCAAACCTGCCTCCTACTTTGTAACACCCGAAATCTGGGGTACTAATGGAGGAAAAGATAATTTGCATTTTGAAGGTCTACTCATCGAGTCCATGGAGGAAAACTCGACGAGTAGGAACTTGTCACAACTAGGAATTTAGAGTTGAGATTGTGATTCATGTACAAAAATTTCCTCTATGTAACCTTGCAACATCAAATTAGTTAAATTCAAACCACAATGTTATTTGAATTCATACGTGCATACATTGTGAATCAAGTTAAAATAGCCTCATGCAAGCCAAAAACATGATCCGATAGCTAAGCCCAGTCAATTTTGTGCCTTGGCCCAAGAATTCTCAGCCCAAACACTATAGGCCGAAAACCCATTTCTTTAGACCCTATTGGACCGAAAACCCTTCTATTGGATCAAAGAAAACCCATACACACATCAAAACCGCAAAGCCTTTAAGGGGTGAGGGTGTTTTCGGCCACCCTAAAACCGAAAACCCCATAGTTTGCGGTTGGAATTAGACAAAAAAAAAATGCAAAAAGGGAGCGACACCTCATTATTATCCCACAAACCTCCAAGTAATTAGCCATCATGTATCTAAGCACTTGCACTAATTACCCACCATGTTTGTAGGCCACAAGAAGTCAACCCTTTCCCCCATATAGGGTGTGTTCGGCCGCAACCCCCCCCCCCCCACCCCATATCCTCACCAAAATTATCTTTCACTCCATTTTACTCTCAAGAATCCCTCTTTTTTCCCTCTCAAATTTTCGTGTGTATGTGTGCCATCTTCAATGATTCTTCTTCAAAAACTCATAAACTTGGTAAGTTTCTTGTAAAACTCTAGTGTTTGTACATATTTAAGTTAAGAACTCCATGTTTACACACACATTTCGTGTGTAGCTTCTTAGAACATCATCCATCTCGAGTGGTCTTCAAACTACACAAAGTTAGGCTCAATAACTTCTTTCTTCTTCTTCCTATCACATGAAAAATACCAAGGTGAGCTTCATACCCCCATCTTTTCGTGTTTTTCATACTTTTCGGGGGGAGAATACAAGTCAAGTTTCGTTTACCCTTTGATAATTGCATGCATCATGGTTATGGGTGAAAGTGGAACAAGTTCTCTAATAAAAAGGTTCTTAACATGTGTTAAAGTCATTAAGTAAATGATGATGACATCTTTGTGTTATAAAAGTTTTGTGGTCATGTTTGTACACTCAAAATGGCGAAAATATGAGTGTTGTGCTCTAACATGTTTAACTCTTGGACTTATACATTTTCAACTCTTATACTTTCACAAATATTTTAATATAATAAATTTCAAGGTCATTATATGTGTTTGTGATAACCGTGACTTATTAGAGTCACAACCAAATAGAATATTTTGTATTACAAAATTTTCATACTTATTATGGTGTGTTAAACAAACTACAATGCTTGATTTTTTTGATAAAATTAATTCTTATTAGTAAAATAGTCGTAACTATGTTGTTACTATTTTGATGGCTTAAAACCTAAGATATTATGTTATTTTCACAACATATGTTACAAACCTACATGTTCACAAATGATTATTTATAAAAAGTATTATAAATAATTTAACAAAAAATGGTATACAAACAGAATCTATGACAGAAAAATTCGTGTGTCATAATCTGCCTATCATAAAGCTATTAAAACATAAGTAATATGCTGTATGTCATAAACGCTGTAAGACGCGTGTCATAAAACTTCAGTCATAAATACACACTAGTAATGTTATTTTCATTATTCAATAATGGGAGTCAAAGTTCGCGTAAATCCGTTAAGGCTCTAGTGAGACACCGTCTTCACCGTACCTACCTAGCGTACATTCTAAGTCCTGCTTTATAACTAGATTCTCCTGGAGGGAGAGCGAGACTGTTGTGTATAGATCTATACAGGATTGACAACCCCACACCTCAGTTGTTCGTTACAGTTAGACCGGCAAGTCTAGGGTGACAAAAGTATACCAATTCCGACACCTGAATAACGTCGTTTAGGCATAACCAGTCATATCAAGCATGGTTATAAGAACTCACTTAGGGATTAACAATACTATCTCGATTTACGGGAAGCTTATACTTCATCGGTTTTATTAAAATATAAAACTGCATATCATTTTCAGTATACAGTCACTTACACTTCTGGTCTTAGGGTTTAAGACTACAGTTTACTTATAAAAAAATATTGGATTTTCTGGGAACAAACACTTTACATTTACAACCAAAAGAAAACAAAGGACATGCATGCATATATTCATAGTTTTGGAACGAGACTTACAAACCATTTTCATAGAAAATATCGTATTTTCTGGAGTCATACAAATTATTACAAACAAAGATGTTACAAACACTTTTCATACAAATATGCTTATGAACTCACCAACATTCAATGTGTTGGATTAATGTCTAAGTCCATAACTATAATTGGTAAGACTTGACCCGACCCGGCATGGTCCATTTGGGTTGCATGGCATCATGCATTTGGATAGACTATAGTGAGAGAAATAACACTTAAGGTTTGTTAATATATTATAAGTTATAATATATTAATAAGATTATTTAATTAGTATTGATCAAGAATTAATCTAGAATTAATTAAGTGATCAAAAGAAGACTAATTAAATATATGGGTTGATTGTGTAAATCACCCATACTTGTATAGTGGGCTAATGCTCCATGGATTGTCAAGTTGGGCTAAAACCCATAAGATGCTCCATGGTATGTTTGAACCCATGGATCCAAGGAAATGGAAAGCCATGACAATTAGGGTTTACCCTAATTGTCACTAACTATATAAGCATCTTATTGTTGACAAAATCGGCCACTATGTGTGAGAGAAAGGCTAGCCGATTTGATGAAGTGTTCTAATTCTCTCAAGTTATTCCAAGTGTATTTGGTGTTGTGTGAACCATTTGAGGTGTCACACTTGGGGCACTAGGCACTCAAGCTTCATGAAGACATTCTACATCAAAGAGGTATGTAATTCTAACTTGATATATATTCATATGAATCAATGTTATTATGCTAGTTAGGATGAATACCTTGGAAAGTTCATATTTGCATGTATAATAGAGGAAACATAGATCCAAGGTATTTAGGGTTGCATGTACACTTAGGAGTGTTAGATCCAGTTAAAGTTGTCTTTGCATAGGAGTTCTGGAAGTTCTTAATTGGTTGCATAACAACTTGGAAGTAATGGCAGACCCTGTACTGCCAGGTGGCAAGAAGTTAAGATTGCACAAGTTCAATCCATATGAGTTTGGATTTGTCACTAACCTAGTCTTGTGATTGTGGTCTTGACAGATTCACGTGGATAAGAACACATACACCATAAAATCTAAGGGTCATAAGGTTTCTCTCCGATTCATGAAAAATGATGGTGAGGAAACACTTCCACCAAGTAGATTTGAAGCAGATGGCAAAAGGTCTAAACAATTGAGACTATGATTACGGCATCCCTTTTCATAGTTCTGAAATTGTTTAGACACACATACATGCTATATAAGGAAAGGTGTATGATTTTGATAGTGTTTTATCAAAGCAATCTCGTATCAGAAGTCTGAACTTTGGTAAGAAAGTCAATAAAGTATTGATTTCTAGAAGTCCAGCTGATTTCTGAGTACATGTCAGAGCTAGTGGGAGCATAAGTGTTATGCTAATAATCATCATGTTAGTGGGAGCATGATAATTATGATAAAGGTTGCAAGTTAGCAATGTTAATTATAGAAAACAAAAGTTTCAATTCGTGGAGTTGCAGGGGTTGGAAAGTTGTTTTGCTATAATTAAGGAAGAGGAAATTATACTTCATTTCAATTCTAAAAGCTTAGATTGAGGTTTTAATCATCTTTAGTCAATGATATATATGAATTTTGTGTTGAAATGACACTCAACATAAGGAAATTCCATATATGGGTCTATTATTTGCGTTCTAAAATTTGATTATGATTACGGCATCCCTTTTCATAATCTGAATTATGAGAACTTGGCAAATAAAAATATTGTAGCAAAAGACTAGTCTAGAATCATGTCTTTATGTGAGTCATCATGAATTGTGTCCCATTTGCTTTTGGGTAC